AGGTTTAAAAAGCTTGCAATATTGATGTTGATATGCAAGGAGGTCATCGTCGCTATGAGGAGCGCGAGTTTGAGCCCATTGAGGCCATTCATGACCCCATGGAAGGATAGCACAATAGCAGTCAGTCACAACTAGATGACTCAAGTGTGGAAGTGTTCAAGAGAGCTGGATGGTGCACTTGGTGTTTCTAGCCGTACTACCACAAACACCTCACCAACGGAAGCTACCCGGGGAATGGCAAATTGTTGTTATGGCCCCATCAGCAGCCGCTGGTTTTTGGAGTTGTTGGGGTCGCCTTGCCCTGCAGCATGGTTGTTGGAGGTCAGCTGGCTTCTCCACCTCAGACAGTGGGTGTGTCCGGGGCAGTCGTTTCCGTTGTCCCGCAGTGGGCCCAATGCTCGACGGGGATTGATCCCTAGGGCCTGCTGTCAGTGAGAGGTGGTGGTATAGCGTGGTGGTGGTTCGCTGGCTCATGGGAGGCTAGAGAGTGGGCCATGAATGCGGTTACAAGATTCATAGTATGCGTGCGCACATATCACGTGTGCAATACCTGATCGTGGGTCCATCACAATCACATCAAGACAAGACAACACAGTGCACGTCTAGGCACATTGACACCATCCACCGTTCACCCATGATCGAACAATTGTCCTCTAATTCCAAGCATCTAACACCCGACCCCCTGGCCTTAAGTACTATAACTTTAAGAGGCCATATTGTTGCCATTTATTAATAGAATCGGGCATTTCAAAGTGCGTTAGAACCAAGAAATTATAAATAACCCTTAAAAGGTACATTTTCTAAATTACATATTTTGGACTCCAAAATATATCAACAACTCTTTAACCCCAAGTAAGCACACCACAATTGTCTCTAATTAAGGTAAGTCCGCATAGTGGATGGAAGATACACAACCTGCTAACACTGTATATACCCTTTACTCAAAAGTGTGAAAATGGAATATCAAAAATTTATTGATAATTGTTGAACATCCAGTTGACAACCATTGAACTATTGCTGAGTAACATGCATTTGCTCCTATACCCAAAGTGTTCATGTTGGAGCAATCTACAAGGCATGCAAGGGATCAATTTCCCATAGACCAAACAAAAATGCAAACCAGAAAGGCCCATTATATTTGCATAATCATTCAGATTGTATGATCAGTGTGGAGCAATTTAAACATATACAATCTCTGGTATCACAATTGTTTATATTGTATGGGTGTTCAAATCTAAGGGGAGATAATGTCTCCTGTGTAGAGTTCTACCCTATCCGTTTTTGATGCAAAGCCCATCGATAGGTAATTCTGGTTTACTCATGTTGGTCACTTGGCATGCATGCAGTGTCTTGGCCAATCACTGGGTATGCAAGTGGCTGGTGTTGGGTGCGGGCCTCGTAGGCCATGGTGTTTCTTGGGTGCATACTGCGTAGTGGGTGAATAGCTAGGTAGGATTACATGGCAGTTGTCTATTTGTTTGCATACATCTAGGCCTTAATAGTCCCTGTGGGTTCCCTGTGGCCTCTTGACAAATTGCTTGAGGGGTATCCCTTTGGTCTGTTTGCAATTTGTTGACCGAGGCCATACCAGCCTAGAGTTTTGGGCCTCACAGGGTACCAACTTGGTAGTATTTACGTAGTATTTCATGTGGCATGGCAACCATCTATTTATATAAATTGTCTCCATTTATAGGTATCTTGAACAATATCTAGAAGGTTTGGAAAGAATCAATACTAACACAGGAGTGACATAATAGCTTAGGGATCATTTGGTTGAGCAGGAAGGATCTTAAGAAGTTTTGGAAGGTTGTGGAATAGCTGACCGGATTGTAAATAGAAAAGGGGCTATCGCCAAAGTGTTCCAGCAATTCAGCACCCCCCTGCGCCTCATGGTGACTGATGGTGGATGAGCAATAAGACATCGTAAAGTTGGACTTGAGTATAACAATGGTTGGTGACCGTCAATTTTGCATGCTCATATCAAGTGTTTAGACTTGATTGACTGTGTGTGGATCCACACACATTCCTTTCGGAAGGAATCATTGCATGCGACTGGGACTTGAAGCCATCGGGCGAAGCTTCACTCTTCTCTGGAAAGGGGATTCTTGTGTAAGGCTGGTTCATGAGGAAAATTGTTGCATTGCATTGTGTGCAAACGAGTGGCATCAACTCAGGTGAGTTGTGCATGTATTGTGATGCGATTGGAAGACCAAGGCCTGGTCAAGCAAATTTGCTCAATGGTAGAATCATGCTCCAAGAAACTCCATGTGAATTGGTTTGCATGTGTTGCATGCGTTCATCCCATGTGAAAAACCTTTAAAAATATAACTGGAAACGTGGCCAAGAGTTCAGCCTTCATTGTGTGCCGTCGAGCTAGTATCATATCCCACAAAACCATTCTTTATGCCTCTGGAACCCACCCGCCTTCACCAATAGGTGATGTAGGCTGAATTGGGTTGCAAAAGGGGACACAACTACAGAGGAGCGTTAGAGACGCTCAGAGTACAAAAAGTAGCATCATGCCAAGTTGAGCAGTAGCAAGTGCACTGGCATAACCTCATACGTGTAATGAGCGTTGACCTCAAAGGGTGCGGTCCCAAAATAATAGACCATAATATATAAGCCCCTCTTTGCAAGTGTGCTAAGATTATGTGTCCATCAGCGTTGGTCAAAGCAAATACAAAATCAAAAAGGGGAGATCGAAATAGTCATCCATTGACCAAGGCACAGGTGGCGCTACTTTATAGGAGTTGTTAGGAAGCCATAGAAAAGCGGTCAATGCCTTGAGTGGCATTGTAGAAAGTCAGACCGTGGATCCTCAGCACAAATGAGCAGCCACATGAGGGCCCTTGAACAAAACTAGAAATGCAATTTAGACAATAGGGTCACAAATTGGGAGATTGTGGAACAATAGAGATGAGATTATCCTACAATTAGTCGAACTAGAATAGATGGTATGCCAGATAAGATGACTAATAGTTAATTAAGACACCTAGTCATAACGAATATGAGAGTTCGAAACAAACGTATATTTGGTTAAGCGTGCATGACTAAAAGAAGTGGAAACAATGTTTGCTATCATGGGAGGTCGTGTAACTTTATATGATTACAATTTATGGCTTATTTTGGGAAAAGACCCAAAAGTTCATGGGGAAGTTAGGGAAGCTTTGTAGATCTTCCGTGCACAAGTTTAGATTCAAAGCAACATTGGCAACAAGCTCTTCAATCACAAGTTTTTGTCCAATTCATAGAATGGATGGCAATTGAAACAACTCACCTTGCCCAAGGACTTGTGCATGCTAATTTCTTCTAAATATCCAAGTCCTCTATGCCCATTCCATTGCCTTCGATTTTTGCTTGATGTTCCCTCGACTGTTTAGGTTGCAAATAAATAGGGCCAATCTAGCATAATAACTGGCAACCAATTTTTCCACGTATTGTCACAAATTTGGCGCCCTGTCAGGCTCAGAATGTGGACCCAAGGGTGGCTATGACAGGGTGGGGAGCAATGTTGAGGATCAGGTCATCAACAAGAAGAGGCATTGAACTTTATCAATGGCCTTTAAGCTATGAATGAAGCAGCAAAAATATGCATGCAACTATGGGCATGCATTATGTTAGTGCATTGAGCTCAGACTTCAATTGCAATTCGACGAAATGATGCCCAAACTCGTCCGCCAGATGATGAGTCAAGTTGTTGGCGTGCTGCAAGGTTGACTCCTCAATGAAAGCTGCAAGGAAAGCCCTCTGAAATGGCATGTGTTTCAAAGTCAAAATGATGTGAAAATGACTTAAGATGGGCTGCATAGATGTGTGATGCTGAGTCTTTTCTACCCAAACGTTTGGTTGTCTTTATGTGCTTTTCTAGTGGCGCTGGACAGCCAGAACAACGATACAGCCTGCTTGTTTAATGAACATCAGAGGCATGGCATGGACAGAAAGTTCATGGATGTGCTGGTTGAGTGACATCAGGTCGCTCGAAATCGCCATGATGGCAGCAGCATCAAGTGCAACAGTTTTTTATTCGAATTTGATGGGCTAAAGGGAAGAGGGTTGAAGTTGCATTTTTTCTGCAGCCTGGGCAGCGTATCATGTGGGGGTGGTGCTGCCTTGCATAAGGATTATGTGAGCGACTGATGACAGCTTGCAAAGTTGGACACCCATTCGGGGTTAGGACGGGCTGGGAGGGAGTCTGATGTGAACTCCCAAAGTTGATATGACATTTTCAGTATCAAATGGATTTGATGTGGAAACATGTACGAGGTTAAAGCAGGCTTTTTGGGTGGCTGCCATAACTTGCGCGGCGCCACAAGGTCGCACTGCCCGTCTGTGGATGGGATGCAATGGAACAAACAACAATTTGTGAAGTTGCAAGCGTCTTGTTGGTGTTCTCCAAGTGTGTGGCCTTGCACACAGGCCGTGGCGTGTAGCCCAACCAGTTTAAGCTTCAAAGCCAATGTTTTTGGATACCAAACGCTCAGATTTCGGTGTGATGCACCCATAGCATGCTCATCGTTCGAGCGGCATGGGTTTATGAGTGAACTTGTGGGAACCGCTGCGGTTTCTGTCAGCGTTTCCGCCCAGGCATGCCACAGGTCCCGCATTATATGGCCCCACTGTGCGACGCATCCCTAGTCCGACACAGCCGTGTACGACCACGTGGACGGTGAGCTTCACTGGGCCCCAGGGCCACTCCTCGGGAATAAACCGTGTGCTTCTCCAAGGCAGAGGACGCCCCGCTTTCCGCTCCACTAGGGGTGCCCCTTGGCCACCACACCGCCCCCGGTGCCGCGCAGCGTGCCTCAAGGCTCCCCCTGCAGCCTCAGCTCTTTGCTGCCCGATTTCCAACCCTCGATCGCAGCGGATCGCTCCGGGGCCGCGCGTGGCCTGCCGGGAGTGCCGGCGGGTGGCCAGTGACTTCCATCCGTGCGCCAACCAAGATCTCGACCGTGCGGGGCAATCTAAGCTCCCAGCGAATCATCCGACTGGCGGGCGGTGGAATGGATCGCCGGGAGGAGGTGACGCGATCCGGCTTCCTGTTCCCTACCCTCCGGCGCGTGGATTCCTCCACGGACGTTCCGGACACGCCTGGCAGCAACCCCAGCAGTCCGGGCAGCACCGCCAGCCTGAAGGGCTCCGTGGCGGGGGCGGTGTCAAAATTCATGGCGCTGGCGGCCCAGGCGCGCCGCAAGTACGCCCGGCCCAGGCAGGAGGCCGAAGAAAACCCCAGCCACAGGGAGTTGCCGTCTGTTGGCAGCGCGCCGCTGCCGGAGACCGCATCCAAGGGGGGCCTGGAGGCGTCCGCGTCCGGGCGCACCCACACGGGCTTCTGGGATTTCACGTCGAAGACCTGGGTGCCGCACGGCGACGGAATGCTGGCCAGGGAGGCTTCCGCGGGGGCCGAGGCGGGCCACCCGGGGGGGTGGGAGATGCCAGAGGAGCTTGGGGCCGCGACGTGGACGCTGCTGCGCGCCGTGGCGGTCCAGTTTCCCGACTCACCCGGAGAGGCGCAGCGGAGGGGCGTGGAGACGCTGGTGAGGCCCGGATCTCGATCGCGACCGCTCGAGGCGACGCGATCTGGGCGCGGTTCAGGTGGTTCTGGCCGCCGGCGCGCCGATCGGGCCACATTGCCGCCTGCGTCGGGCGTGGCGGGATGGGCTGGGAGCACGGTGCGCTGAGGTTAGGCCCGCTGGAACGGCAGGGGGCAAAGGGGCCCCCGCATGCGGGGTTGTGTTGGCAGCGCGGCTGGAACGGGTTTGTTTTCCGTGAACGGGGGCTCGGGTGGTTAGCGGGTTCTTGGGGGCGGGGGTGGGGTGGGGATGGCGCGCCGTGTGGGCTCCCCGGGCGCGGCTGTCAGCAGAGGTGACCGCGCTGACACGCCGACGCGAACGGAGAAGAAGCGAATCCCCGCTTGCTTCGCTTGCTGGCATCGACAATGGGCAGAATACAATCAGTCATGCAAGCACTTGATTATGGCGATGGTGGTGTTGGATGGATGGAGGCGTGTGGAGCTGAGAGCTGTTAACTCTGCAGGCCCACGTCTCTTCTTCATGAGGGATTATTTTGTGGGCGTCAACAGTGATTCCAAGGGGGAATAATGCCGGGCTCACATTGCGCTGTTCGTCCCAAAAGAAATTTTCAGATACTGGCAAGAAATTGTGTGGATTGTTGGCTTCAGAAGAAAGAGGTTGCTGCAGTGAGGTTTGCGGCTTGGTAATGTTGTTGGATGTTGTGGATGTCCACCGAGTGCACTGAATTGCTTCAGCACATGAACTTTGCTTGGTAAATGGATGGTTCAAGGTGAGCATTGTGTGTTGCCGCAGATCGAGAGTCTATCACAAGCATACCCATGTCCTGTGTGTGCCGAGCATTTTCAAGAGCTCCTCAGGTGTGCCCAGCCCCCCCCCTCCCCTTCCCTCCCCCCAAAAACGCAATTCACCCACAACCACAAAACAGTACTCACCGCCGCCTTGTATTGACTGCAAAATTGCACTTCTTTGCCCCAATCTCAGAACTCCATCCTCCAACGACAGAAAAGGACTGCTTACCAGCCCACAAACAATGTAATTTGACTTGCTCTGCTGGAGTGTAAGGATCTCAACAAACACAGGAACCCAACAATTATCAACTTTGCCTGTCAAATTGCTGTCCAGTGCACTAAGCTCCTGGCTGTCTGATTCAGATGCCTATTGATGCCTGCAAGGACAGCAACTTGCCATATTTTGATAGAAGAATTCAATGTGGTTGCGCTCTCACTGGGCAATAGCTGCTGGCAAGAAACCAGATGTCATTGTCTGCAATTCCTTATTGCATTAAATGGATTGTATGCCTATAAGGGAACAAAATGCCCACACACTTGGTGCCAATAGCACAAGGTGGTCTCCTTTCTGTTAAGAGTACGGTTTTTGCTTGAACCTCAGGGATCACCCCCCTGTGCTTGCATCTGGGCCTCAGTTGAGGGAATGGGTCAGCGACTTTCATGGCATGGTGACCCGTGGCCTTGGCAAGTCAGCATTCAACTGCCACCTGGCCCATTCACGGTGGACGACCCTCAGAAGTGCTATAGACGATGGCAGCTGCACAGCGGGGGAAAGGATGGGCTCATGGAGGCCCCCACCCATTCCAGAGGCTGGGCCATGAAATTCGTGGATCTGGAATTTAGAAATACCAGTGTGCAACATGGAGGCAAGGCACCAAGGAATTGTGGGAGCCTTCCTGACGGAAGGTTCAGAAAGAAGAGAGTGTGCGGGGCAGGACAAAGTATGTGTGCGTGCCCGCTGCATTTGTTTGCATCTTTTATGGCAAGGGCTGTGTGAGCTGTGTTGGACTTCTGAGAGGAAGTGCTTGGTAGCTGTGGCAGTCCCCTGCACAGGCTTTGTACGACCAAAGTTGCAGATCAAGTATGCCAAGCGGCTCCTCGCAATTGGAGTTGTTTTGTGGATGATGTGTTTTGGCAGATGTGACTGAATTATAGAGTCTTGGCTGCTGCTGATGCTGTTGTTAATGCTTTTCAATGGCATCACACATTTTGGATATCAAGATACCCTATTGGAACCACTACATGGTGTTATGAGATGTTTGGCAGTTTCAGCTGTCGGCTGTCATTAGTGATCGTGGCACAATAGCCCATTGTCTCCTATGTTGACATCTCAATGTGGTTGAACTGGTCTACTCTTGTAGCCCTCATTGTTGTTCTCCCTTTGAGAGTGCTGGTTTGTGCTTAAGACAGGCTCCATTTTTTGGGTATTTTGCTCACAATGTGGTAGTTATGTGGTGCACTAAATCCATTGTTGTTTCAAGTCAGCCTTGAAGCAGTTACATGTTGCCTGAAAGGATGTTCGCCACTTGTGTGGTTGGTGTCGTCAGGCCCACAGCAAAGGCAAAGCAAGTAAGCTCTGCACTATGGCACTGCAGCTGGAACATGTCCAGCAGTCTTCGCTTGGAACGATGGCCCCTGTTGGATGCCAGACCATTTGATGAATGGGAAGGATAAGGAATAAACCCCTGATGACCAATGTCCTCCATATGCTTTTAGGGGTTGTATTATCAGTGAAGCTGAAGCACAAGGCTATAAATCTAAAGCTCAAATTCAGTTGATTGTCCAAAGGCTCAGTGTGAGGCGATCCCAACTTGCTCGATTGTGATGCAAAGTACATTCCTGCTCCCCCACAACTGCATTCTCATAGGTTATGCTCACAATTTTCATCTTGCTAGAAGTGTGCTTCTAGAAGTCTTTGACCTAGGCTGTGCATTTTGTTTGGATGACATTGTATTTTCCATCCGGTACTTTGATAACCCACACCTTGTTCCCTCAACACGTGTTGCCTCATGGATCCTGAAGAATTCCATCCACTACAGAAGTCTGATCATCCTTGTAACATTGTCACAACATAGGTATTTGAAGCTCCAGCAGGCAAATAGGGCTGAAGTTGCCTTAATATCAAAGCCACACTTATATATAATCAGTCTGCATTGCTACCTAAAGCTTGCCCAATGTATCTATGTCCCGACCAGTTATCCAAATGCTCATTGAGTTGCGAGCGGCATGTTGCTATAGCTGAATTGGCATTACACATATTGCCCTGGTTGCAGTCCCCTCACGCAGATGTGTGACAATGGGAAGCCGCTGTGGGGCCTTGTACACTCTCCGAGCTATCCCTTGAACAACTCAACCACGACCTATCTGCACAGCACTCAGATGGAGTTGAATGGGGATCTTGAAGCATAGAGTGTATGGTTTGTTGTTCTGAATGGGAGCTACGTTTTGAACTACATGATGTCAAGTGATTCCCGCTTCTAGCATACATCCAACGTGTAGTAGGATCCCAGCAATATATAATATCATCCTAGCCCCACCAAAGTGCCAATGTTGCAAAACATAGCACAAGTCAAATGGGAAAACTGGCATGGGCATTGCATAATGACAATGGGAATACATTGGACAAGAATGGGCCTTTGGCTTTGTCTGTGGGTCTTTGGGAAAGATGGCACTTTGCATCGTCTCCTTTTCCATGGATGTAGGCATACAGGTACACAGTTAGAGTGTTCATGTGGTAGTTTTGAAAGCATACCCAATTGTTATAACTAACGTCTTTGTAGGGCATTGCTTGACTTTTGTGCCAAATGGAGTGACGCCTTTGTTCCACAAAAATGGAATTTGTGGTCCCACAGTGATTGTTCTGTTGTGTTCTGCACCCCCTTGCATGTATAAAACAACCCTTTGGTTGCATAAACACAACATTTACATATACCATGTAGCGTTTGTTGTGGTTGAACTTGACAGTATGATAGATCTAGTACAAATGCTACACCAAATAGCATGTCTTCAGGGCAACATGGGTGGCTTCCAAACGAGGTCCTTAGTGGTGGCAATTTCATACGGATTGTATCATGCAAGCCACAGTAGGGGTCATGTCCCGCTGTGTGCACAACAATTGTTGTTGTCAGTCATACTGGAGGTTGATTCAATCTTACAAGTGGGGAAAACATGTGGAGGGCGCCGCTTCCTCATCCCTCCTTTGAGGCAACCCATGCTGCCTTGTGGCGGTGATTCCACATGTCTTGTTGCACGGCAGATGGAAGTGCAAGCTTCGCTTGATGGCAGCGGCCCATCTTGGTATTGGGATCACTGCCACTGGAAAGGCATCAAGCCTCTTGCAGAGTGACATGGGGTTTTGTGTGATGTGCCACTATGATGTGGATGGAACACAGAGGGGCTGTTATGAAAAATGCTCCAGTATGTGGAACTCATCACTAGTAGAGTTGCACACAATAGTGAGTATAGTGCTGACAGTTATAAGGGATGACGAATATTGGGTAACCAACAAGTATGTCAATATGGAGCCTTGGTACAAGATTGCCAAATGAATGTGTTGATGTGCATTAGCGAGGTTGACACGAGTTTGTGTCAACTACTACACATTAAGGTGTGGCAGTGAATAGTGATGAAGGAGTAAGCGGAAGTGCAAGAGGAGAATAGGTCCAATGAGCAGTGTTTGTAGTCTGAGTTTCTTGGAACACCAATGTAGAACTCTAGTTATGCAAATCCTTGCCATCGAGCCACGATGGGATGGACATTCCATTAAGTGTCACCCAATTGACTGGCGCACGGAAACACTTCGTTGACTATGGCTGAATTCTCCATGCGTGGCTGCAAAATCGGTATTGCACTCAGATAATGCAGTTGACACTCATGCGGCTTAAAATTTGGCAACAACTTTGCAAAATGCTGCCAAACATAGAGAATTGAAACACCAAATAATTTGACTTCTCAACCAGCAACCATCTCCTGGGTCTTGGCAATTAACCATTGTTGCGCCAAAATATCCGTAATCTTTGTTGCCATACTCATTTCGATCGCCAGGCTGCTTAACCCAGCCCGGCACCCATGACATGGCTTCCTCGTAGTGGGCCCGCAGGCTGGAAACTCCCCTGTGCACCTGTTTGTTAAAACGTTCCCAGTAGCAAAGGACCTATCCTGCTGGAGTTTGGGTAGCAAGGGCGCACTTCCACGCCCGTTCTGCCAACTTCTCTTCCCACTGAGACAAGGATTCCGATAACCACATGCATGCATGGTAATCCGCCGATGGAAATTTTCCTTCAAATGCAAACACACTTTTGTCCTCGATGTTGTGATCGCCTCCCATTCCATATCTTGGGAGCGGAGTCCTTGCCTTTG